GGGCAAAAACTTGATAGTAATATCTGGGAGCACAATTCTATAACACATTACTACCAACGATCTCGATCTCTCTTTCAGACAAGGCCAAATCTAATCTAATAGACCGATCTCGAGGTTCAGGAAAAGGTCCTCATCCCCAACTCATTCATTCGGCTGAGGTTGGTTTCGGATTTCGCACGCTTCTTCTAACAATAAGTGGCAAAATCTTGATTAAGAGCTTCGATTTCATGTGGCGTTTTCCAGGATACCAGGCGCGCACCACTTCGGAACATTGAGGGCGGTGGAACATGTATTGGCTCGGATGTGGAGCGAAAGCCTTGCGATGCAGGTTAACTATAACATAATCTACTACGAAAGCTATAAGTTCTTTTGCAGGTCCATGTTGTACATGGAGTGAGTGGAGCGAATGGTCCCCATGTAGTGGTTGCGGTAAAGAATCGACGTCTTCTAGAACTCGCAGATGCAGAGTAACTGAGTCTGGATCGATTTTCCCGGCCTCCACATCTCAGGTTTTGAAGAGTTTTGTAAAGACTTCGTGTCATTTAAAATTTCCAGCTGGACTTTCACGGTGAAATTGGAAGGCCTTATTTACTGAATCCCCGACTAAGAGGTAAGAAGTATAGTAGTTTTTTATTCAAAAATGTAGTCTTATTCTGTGGTTTCATTTTTTGTTGATGTGGCTTCCGTTTTAGGTGGATCAGGTTCGATATCTCCAATTGTCCCAATCAATCATCGAACAAGGCGGCAGGCAGTGTTTTCTCAAAGAGGTCGGTCTGGCAAGCATGAAAGTAGCATTTACTTACAGCGTAGTAGAACTGACTGTTAATGTTGCGCTACGGTGCTGATAACATTTGCGCGTAAACAAGGCGACGCGCGCTTTATGGTCATTTTGGACGTCAGTCGCAATCAAGTTGTCGGCTTTCAAGCATGGTAATTGTTTTAGCGCAAAAGTTGCTATACCATGGACACTACTTATTGTCTGATCTACCAAATCGTAGCTATAGCGGAATTATCAAAGCTGCGTTTATAGTCGCCATGTGCTGGCATGATGCCAGCATGCCAATGTGCTCACTTGCG